AGACAAGGAAGAAGGAAATTAAACATCTGTGTTAAGGTGGGATTAAAAGTGATTTTTTTGTTGTTTAGTTCGATTTGGGTTTGTAAAATTTGAAAACAAAAATAAACTTCATTTTCTGCTCACATGCCTTGCAAGGCCTTCTAAAGGCTCCCAAACCTGTAGAGGGCAAGCATTCCACATAATTCTGATGCGCAACTAATTCTAGAAACATTGACAAGCTGGCCTCAGACAATTTTCCCAATGTAATTATTAGTCAGTCATCCTCTCCAAAATGGTTTACTCACTGTCCCAAACATAGCCTTCCATATATAATTGCATTCTTGATCATAATCGCCAGTCCAAATAGAATGTCTTTTATTTTTACATATTATATTCCACTAACTTTGAAAAGCCTTGAATGACTGCTAAATACTTATTTCTGTTTTGCATTATAGAACAATTTGTCTTTAAAAACAGATTTGATTGTATACTGAACTTTGACAAATCTATTATTCTCCTGAGCCAGGACTTAAATCTTTAAAAACTTACCTAAATTGACTGAATTTTTTGAAGTAACTGTTTATATTATCTATCCCCATTATTTCCTTCCTTTTATTAACAGTAAGCTCCTTGAGCACAGATTCTTGCCATGTAGGAACGTCACTAGGTAATCTAGATCAGCTTGAATCCAAGTACCAAAATACACTGTCATTTTAGTTTGAATTATATACGAAAGATTATCTATATAACTCCATGTGGCCATAAAATCAGCAGCGACATCTAATAGGGCAAAAGACCATATAGAGATTGCAAAGGTTACTTTGGTTACAAATAAACAAATTACATAACTTCCCCCAAAATTATGAAACCATCAGGAAAGCCACATTCAGCAATCTATTCTACTTCTCAACATACAGACATGTGCAAAAATAAATGTACAGTGGAATGAATTTTATCATTTTTCAAAAAAGATATATATATAAAATAGTTACATGTCCAATCTTGATTGCAAAAGAATAGCCAAGTAAAATTGCATACCAGAAACAGAATTTTTAACAGACAGCAAATCCTGGTCTTTTAAAACTGGAACATCTTCATTTTTCCACAAAATGAGGCTTACTCTAAAAAACAAAGACTTCTTTTAGTTTTGAATATACTATAGACCACACATTCCGAATGGACTGCTTTATAATTTCCTTAAAGAAAAAAGGTTTCACTTTTAAACACTTTAACTGATATTTCTATACGTCAACTATTTCACCACTGATTAAAAAAAATCACGAAAATGTTTATAATATTCAATCATCAAAAAATTCACAAATGAGAGCCACATGAATGGCTAAACCAATCCATAGGAATGTTCCAGTTTTGAGATGTCAGTCTAAAATACCATGTCAGGAAGCTAATTACATAGCCTCACTCAAACTCTGGACAGAATAAACGAAGTATTCTTTCAAAACAGCTTTTCATCATAGAAATGTTTTTAAAAATTTGACAACTTTGGTTTTACAGGAAACAATCTTATCAGTTTGTGCTCACCTGAAATTGGTCACAAAAACCAGTATGATCAAATTCATTTTCTTTCTTTTATACCTAAGATGTGGTCTAGTATAGCTGTTCATTTAATATTCATCTACAGTTGTTTCCCATAAAGATATCATAAAATCCTTAAATACTTATAATGGGGTCTCTAAATCTGTAGTAGCAATTACAAATCAATTCAGTATTAAATACTTGGAACATTAAAAAATGTTTCAAAGGTAAGATAGCTTATGTGGAGCATCATGAATTCTAAGAAAATTACTTTTTTAAAGTAACCATAAATTAGCTTATTTCACATATTTTGCACCAAAAAGTACCTACACGTTCCTTAGAAATACTGACAGAGCACCTATCATGTATCAGATAGGGAAACAACAGTGATTAAAACCTCAGTTGCTGTCCTCTGGGAGTGGAGTCTCCAACTAGGGAAGAGCCAAAGAACTGCAGAGTAATATGGTGACAGAGGCATGTTTAAAGGGTCCTGTGAGGGTACAAAAGCACCAAGAGGATGCACATAAGGATAGAAAACTTTTTAAGGAAACAAGGAAACAAGAAAGTGGTTCAAACTCAACTAACTATACCATAAAATCAATTGGTTTGGTTTGGTTTCAGTAGCCTCTAAATGTCACTTCCATTCAGCCAAATGTTTTGCCATACTAATGCCTAATTAAACTGAAAAATAATTTAGTTTTAAGAATCACTCCTAAGGTCAAATAATAACCCTCAAATTAATTTTTCTGTGCATTTGACTTAAAGACTGTGATAATTCTACTTGAAAAAAACAGAGACCCAAAAGAGAAAGTTCACAAAATAAAGCTAAAGAAAAAACAGAAAACAGAGGGAAAAAAGTAAAAAGGGGAAAAGGACAACAAAAAATTTGAGTGCAATAAGAGCTAAAGCTTTTTTATGGACAACTGTACAAGAACTAAAAACCATGATCCCTTTTGCCTTTTATTTCCACTTCTGGGAATTTATTCTAAAGATATAATCAGGGATGTGAGGGAAGATCTAGATACCTAGACGTTTTAGCCAGAGATGGCAGTTCTTAGGCAAAATCTTTTATAGAACATAACCAAGTACATTCAGACATATTACTACTATTACAGAAAAATCAGGAAATCAAGTTATATTAATTAAAGTATACCTACCCTACAGAACACTATGCAGTCATGAAAAATGCTTTAAGGGCAAAATACTTTCCATGTTCCCAATATTTTGCATGAATAAAACATGAGTGACAAAATGAGCACCACTAGAATGACCTTTATTTTGTAAAATGAAATCAGTGAAAAAGAAAAACTATGTTAGCATAAGCTGTGGAGGGAATACAGATTTTTGTTTTCCTCATTTGGCTTTTTAGTAATTTCCAAATGTCCACTAAAGTGTTATTTCGATTGGATAATACCAGTTTTAAGTTGAGTAGTGGAATTATAGGTGATTTCCCCCTGGGAAGTTCAGTAGTTACATTGTTTTATAGTTTTCTCAAGGAAAAAAATAATCGCTTCACTTCTAAACTCTTACTGAAATCTTTTCTATATGCCAAATTTTTAAATAGGGAGAAAAAAATCATGAAAATGTTCATATTTTTCTGTAATAAAAATATTTTAAGAACTAAAAAACCCAGAAATGGGAACCACGTCAACAGGTAAACAAGTTCGTAACTAGGCCCTAATTTTGAGATTTAATCTAAAACATCACCTCAGGAAAGCTAATAATAAACAGACTCATTTAAATACCTGATCAAAGAAAACATCGTTCATCTACCATTCTTCCACTTTGCTATTGATGGCTCTACTTTCTGGTCTACATAGTACTGATCCATAAAATACTTTTCCAGGCAGCCTACCCAATTCTAAAAATGTTTACAGACATTACAGCTCACCTCAGTTATACTTCAAATATTTGTGACTGAGAGGTCCTGTTTTCTTCAGACCAACTGCCAAAAAAATAAAAAATAAATTCGAGTTATTAAATCAATCATTAGAAAACAGAGTGTTTTACGTCACGACAGAGGTGTTATGAGGTTAATTTTAAGCAGCTATCCAGATCAGTGTGACTAGGTCAACTCAACAGAAATACCAATATACATTTCACTTTGATAATAAGTACCTATGAGAAAAATCACTTTATGAAAAATTGATTCAGCTTTACTTAAGATGTTCCCTCTTTGGATAAATTAGTCAATGTGGATTATCGACAATTTTTTGTATTTTATTTCATTCCTTAACGCAACTTGTCAATTCATACGCAATTTCCAGCACTTCAGATGTTTTTCTCTTACATTTGACAGAACACAAGATTTTTCTACTAGAACAAGATCAATGGCTGCCCTGATGGAAGTCCTGTCGGGGAGTCCTTTTACCAAAGGTGTTTTCAGTCTGCAAAACCACTGCTCTTGCCTTCCAAGGAGTTGTACGAGCCCTCTGCAGGAGGCGTAGCCGCCCGTGCGCTAGTGAATTCCTCAGCCGAAATCCGGGGCTGGCTGTTTGCTCATGGCTACATCACGGGAAGGGCACACGGAATCGTCTCTCCACACGCAGGACGTGTCTAAAAACCTCGTCTCCCCGTCTAAGGGAGGCAGTGGCACTAGGTTGGCGACTATGACAAGTTCCCGAAACGCACTTCCAACGGAAGAAAGAACTTTTCCAAGAGGAGCTGAATCCATACTCTCACACTCCCGAAGAGTCCCAAGGACCAGTCCAGAGAAAGACGTGTGCGTCCCCTTCCGCCTCTTTCTCTACGGCGGCGGGAGAAGAAGCCTCGCCCCCTTTCATTCCGCCCCCTATTCCCCTCCCCGCCGCAGCAGCACTTACTTTCCCATGGCTGTCGCGCTGCCCCTTCACTTCCGGTGCCGGTGCGCTAGCGCTGCGCCACCCCCAGTCGGACCACCATAGCTTCCAACTGACCTTTTTGACAGGCCCGCGACTCCTCGGACCTTCACTAGGTGCTGTCTTGGAGGGAACGGTGGATGGGTGCCGCGCTAAAGATGATGCTACGGGGAACAGACTCTGATCTTACCTTGCCAGAAACATAAAACGCGATAGAGCGACATCCACTGCTGCTCAGACAAAATGGCGCCGAGAAGGCGTCTTTGCGCAGGCGCTTTGGAAAGAGCGTGCCCCGCCCCCGTGCAAATCCTGGCTGCAGCTCTGGGTTCGGTTTCCATGGGACACCGCACCGCCAATCCTCGTGCCGAACTGCTCTTCCTGACCCTTCAATTTACCAATCACTGCTCAGTCAAGCACATCCGGAGTCGTTTCTACCAATCGTTTTACAGGAGTTTCTTACTCAATACCTGATTCTCCAGTAACGTTAGCCTTCGGAGACAGCCAGTCAGAAGTGGAAGATGCCCTACCTGCTGTTTTTCGCACCAATCCGTGAAGTTTCACAGTTACATCCAATGAGGACGGCAGGTAACGAGCTCCAATCCGAAGCTCTTCGGCGTCATGAGCAGCCAATAGGAGTTCGTGCAGAAGCGAGTCTGCTCAACAGCTTGTTATTTGGTGGATTGTGGCAGTAAATCGGACGAGTGGGGAACCGGGCGCAGGAACTGCCGCCGCCGCTGCCGGGAGTGGTGCTGCCCGGACAGGGGCCCACGGGGGTCGGTGGGGCGGAGGACACGGGAGCTGACAGCGCGCACTTACCCTGCAGTTGGTAGGTGGGGAGAAGGGAAGCGGAGGAGAGTGAATGGACGGAGCAGCAGGAGCAGCTCGTGCTGCTGTCTGGTGTCCCGGTGCAGTTGGGAGCTTTGGAGGTGGGGAGGTGGATGCTAGGCAAGCTGTGCTGCGAGCGCAGGGGAAGCGGCAAGCCGAGGAGCAGGGGCAACAACTGCAGGAACTGCCGCCGCAGCCGCCTCCTCGGCCGCTGCCCCGGGAAAATGGCTGTGGGGCTGGCCGCGCCGCTAAGTTAGCCTCCGCGCGTTGAGGAGCGGGCTGTTTCGGGGAGCCGGCCCCCAACTTCGCTGCGGAGTCCGTGGCAGGACCCGGAGCACCGGGGACAGGCTCCGCTCTGGGCTGTACAAAAAGTTGAGGCGGGCGCGGGGAGGAGGCGGTGGCTGCCGCTGTGCGGCTCCCTTCCCCTCCCACACCCAGTCCGGGCCACCTCCCCTCCTCCTCTCCGCCCCTCCGGCCCCCCTCCCCCTCGCGAGTCGCCCCTCGCTCCCGCGCCTCCCGGCTGAAGGCCTCGGCCCCTGCCCCTGCGGTGAAGAAGCGCTTCTCCTCCCTGACATGGTGCAGAGCGGAGGCAGGAGAGCAATGGCGCCGTGACACTCCGCTGCCGCCACAGCGGGTCCGGGGCGGGCCGAGGGGGCCGAGCGGCGGAGGCGGGGCCCGGGCCGAAGTCGGGGTATCCGGGGGGCGGCGGAGCCAGGGCGCGGCGACCGCGCCTCTGGGGGACTCGGGGAAGCGCGCACGGCTCCCTGCCCTATTCCCGAGCGATCCGTCCTGGGACTCAGAGTTGAGCCTTTCGGGTCAAAGTGGCGAGCGAGGCTGGGGCGCGGTGGGCAGCTGGCGAACTCTGGGGCGGAACGGACTGCCCTTTGGCGCCCGTGGGGTTCTCGCCGCCCCTTCTGCTACGGCATTGGCTGCCCTCCGAGAGGATCGTATCCTTTCGCTGGTGAGGGTTCTGCCCCTCCCCGCGGGCATTTGTTTACTTTCTTTCCCTGGGTCGCTCCCCTCTGTTGACTGATTCTGTGCCTGTCTTTCCCCTCCCTGTGGTTCTAGAGACGGAGACGATAGCTCGTTGAGCTGGAACCCCACAGATCACCAACAAAAATGAAGGTAAGTGGAGGCAACGCTGCTCTGAGCCTCGTGCCCTGGACACTGCCTGTCGTGAGGCTGCAGCTGTGGAATGTCGTTTTTTTTTTTTTTTTTTTATACTCATAATTGATTCCTCTACTAAGCAGCGCTTTCCGAAAATGAGGACGTATTGAATGGGTGAGAAATGATCATTGTGTCTAAATGCAATCAGTTCGGCCCCTCTCTGAAGCAGTTAAAACTGTGGAAAGACTGCTGCAGCCTTTCCATTGTTGTCCATTGGGCTAGTATTTTTAAACACTTCCTGTGTTGGCAGCAACCTTTGCAGAAGTAAAGCTCTTGTACTGTTTTGGTACTTTGGGGATTTTTTGAAATTTTTGTTCTTCCCTAGATCCAGTGAGATTTTCCTAAGGAAGGAATATGTGCATTGTGTAAGGGAGATACCATTTCTTCTGGAGATAGGGTGAAATTGTGTGGCTAAAATATTTGAAGGTGAACTAAAACTTACAATTATTAGTTTTAGTTCAATTATTATAGTAAATATTTAAAAACATTTATCCTACCTAAAGTATTTTCTAAAGATAACTGATATTGCAAACATCGTATATGATGTTTAAAAAGAAAAGAAGGCATATAGCATTCTGTAATGCTGGGCATTGAAGGTTTAAGGTCAGATATTTATTGTTACAGGTATTTCTTTTCAATTTGCATTATTTGTAAATGCACTTACTTTAAAAGCTACTCGATTCGTTACTCATTCACTGTTGTGATGTATTAAGCTCTGAAATACAGTTTTTTCCCAAACTTTGTATTGCTTTCCTATTTCCTTGAAGTGATACATGCCCCCTTCTTTAATGTCACTTGGGAAAAACTCACTGGAAAATGAAAAATCATTTTGTACTTAAAAGTATACCTCTAACGTGTACACTGTTACCTTTGCACTTAGCAATGCTAAATCAAACTTGTTATTAACACACTTGTATGAATACTCTTTTGAAAAAATGGGTAAAAGTGACAGATGAGGTAGCTATCATTTTGTTACTGTTAAGATTAAAATGAATGGTGGTAGGAAATTTCTCACATCTTTCAATGTATCATTTTGATCAGGGCCATTTGCTAAAAGTAGATGTTTCTTAGTAAAGCTTTTTTTTTTTAATATACCAAGAAGATAAATGTGATAAACTAGCTTACACTGACAGGTCTTAAGCCATAATTTTATGTATCTGTATTAAGCAGCTGAATTTAGACTTGAACTTTTGCAGCTTTTAGCTAATGATTTTTCCAAATAATGCTCTCCTTTTTAAAAAGATTGGCTTCATTTCTTATGTATTCATTTATACTGTGTCCAAAAAGATGTCTTCTGTAGTTAACATTTAATTATGTATTGTTAGTGTCAATTTTAATAGCAATATTTATTTTAATTTGAAAACATACTTTTTAAAATTTAAAGCCATAATTGGATAACTTAAAGTTTTTTTATAAGGCACTATGGATATACTTTTTCTATTTTTTCATTTCTTAAATAAATTGTGGAGTTACTGAAATTTTTTGTATCTGGAGAGAAAAACATTGTATTTCTTTACTGATACTTTCTAGTTATAAATGTTTTATGTTATCAGGATATAGTTTATAAAACAAAGGTTTTTGATAAAGTTCGCTTTAGGGGTATTTTCCAAGTTATCAAAAATTTAATAAGCAAATAATGGTCTTATTACTTCAAATACAGAATCTTTGATGAAACCTGAGGTTGGAGTAGGGGAAAATAGTGACATTCACATTTTATGTTTATTTCATAAGGCGGCGGATGAGCCTGCCTACCTGACAGTGGGAACTGATGTCAGTGCCAAGTACCGAGGTGCCTTCTGTGAGGCAAAAATTAAGACTGTGAAAAGGCTGGTAAAAGTTAAGGTAACCTAACTATTATTTTTTCTAATGCAACAGTTTTATTAACTTTGGATTAAAGAGACTTGGGGAGGGGGATACTGCAAATCAATATTTTATTTATTGAATCATTACTTCACTTATTGAATCATTACTCTGAAAACACTGTTACCTACAAAATGATGGGAAAAACGCATTAAGAATTGAGAAATGAACTCAGAATGGGAAATTACAACAAAATGCTTTCATGAAAATATGCTCATAATACTTCCTGTGATTTGGATTTTTCCTGTTTGTCGTGGCATGTTTACTTAAGCTGTAATCTATTTTCTCCCCTTTCATAATGTTCAGGTAGAGATTTCAAATGATAAGGGAAAATAATACAGGGAATTATATTTTAAACACGGTATTAAAAAGATTTAAGAATTTTATTTGTAAGATGCTTTTACGACCAGAAAAAAAGTTAACACATTATTTCTGTACAATATTCAGAAATAGAAAAAGTACTGAAGGATAAATACCCATAGCTTCTTTTCAGAAATACTATTAACATTTTTGTTTCCTTCTAATAATTTTCCTATATAAATGTTTTTAATATTACTTAAATTACAAAATTAAACTGTTCATTAAAAATATTTTTAACATTTAGAGCTATATAATAAAAGTTCATGAAAGTGTTCTTTGATACTATACAGATCTGATGTGGTCTACCAGATTTTGTGCTGTGTCTGTTATAATGGATCATGCTGTACTTTCAGTTTTGCAGTTTGTTCTTCACCTACCTATCTGATCATTTCCAACAAGAATTAAGCATCATGAAAGGAAGAAATATTTGACTTGTTCTAGCCCCAATACCTAGAGTAGTGCCTGATACATAGTAACACTCAAAATATGCTGGATGAATAAATGATTAATGCAGTGATTCTCAAAAATGTGGCCCTTGACCAGCAGCATCAGCCTTAACTGGGAACTTATTTAAAATGCAAATTCTCAGGCCCTACCCCATACCTTTTGAGGTCTTATGCATACATTTCCTAGAATTTGTTCTTATTTGGATACATGCTCTATTTGGATAGTTACCCTGCGTATTTGGGAGAATCTGTAGTAGAAAAGAGCGCTTACTTATGACTGAATTGCATATCATGATTATTTTTCAGGTTTACTTTATAAAGAAACAAGAGTCCCAGTTTTAATTTGTTTACCTTGATTGTAGGCAATAAAGTTTGGTACTGTTTTTTTATATCCTTGGTGACAGAACCTTTTGACAACTTGTTGATTTGTTGATAAAAAGCAATGAAGGCAGTTTTAAGCTTTTGCAATAATCACTACAGATTATAAATCTTCTGTAGTTAATTCAACAAACATTTATTAAGTGTCTGTAATATGCAGTGATGTTTGCTAACTGTTGGGGGTAGACGACTCTAGCCTTAAAGGAGTTCAGGGGTAATGAGAGAGACAATAAACATAAATACAAGGCAATGTAATAAGTATTATAACAGAAGTTAGCCACCAGATCCTAAGAAAGCATAAAAACTTTGTTACAGTGTTACTATAAGAGTATTGTTTTAAAAGTAACATACAAATTATTGTGCAAATTTATTTTTCAGGTACTCCTGAAACAGGATAATACTACACAGTTGGTGCAAGATGACCAAGTGAAGGGTCCTTTAAGAGTACGTATGTTGTACAGTTTGAAATCTGAAGTGATAAATTATACAGTAAATTCATATAGTACCTTACTAAATTTTACATTTGTAGATATACTTAAAATGTTATATGAATGTTAATTAGAAAACAAAAATACAAATGTGTTATATACTTAGTATTATATCATAATGGCTGTATCTTTAGTTGAAAAGCATTAAACATCTTATAGGAAGATAATTTTATATAAACATGTTTTCAGTCATCTTTTATTTTGAATTCTTAGATTAAATACCTCATTTTGTTTTTTACATTGCTGTCATAGATGTTTAGCCTGCTAAGTAATGTACTCGTATAAGTCTGAATTTTCTGTTTTTTGAAATTAACCAAGTAAACTATGTTGACTTCATAATTCAATTTAATGAATACCTATATTATGTTTTCCATCCATTTCTGGCCATTTGTTTATGTAATAAATCTTTGTTATGTCAGAGTACCACTTCGGTTAATATCTGATATACAAAGGTCTGGAAGCTGAAAGAAGGTCAACTGGTCCATCCCTCTCTCTCCAGGTGAACCTTTATCTAAAAGGTCCCTTACATATGATTGCTGAATCCAATATTCAGTAGTTCCATGAAAGAATATTGAAGCTATTTTTGCTATCTTATAGCCTTTTGGTTCATATATTACACAATTTTCTTGAAAGCAATGCGACATAGTAAAAAAAAAGCTCTGAACTAAGTCTTAAGAGATTAGTTCTTATCCTGGACTCTTTGCAAATTATTTTCTCTTTCTGAGCCACAGTTTTCAATGCATAAAATAGGGGTAATAATAACTACCTTACTCATGCCAGTGCATTTTGGGGCTCAAATTGCATGATAAATATATGAGCACTATAAATGATAAAGATCTAAGTTAATGTAGAATTATCATAAGTATTATTCTTTTTAACCCAGGTTATATAGTTGGTGGGAGTGATTTGATTTGTTTAAATTTGGTGATGAAATTTCAATTTTGTGTTTAAGGTTGGTGCTATTGTTGAAACAAGGACTTCTGATGGATCATTTCAGGAAGCTATTATCAGCAAGTTGACAGATGCTAGTTGGTATACTGTGGGTAAGTAGTTAAGTAATTTACATAGGATTTGATTTGGGGATTGCATATGCCTCCATTTTGTAAATACCCTGAGTCATTAAGTTAGCAGAGAGTATGTATTCTTCCCTGTCAATTTACTTGATACAGTTGGCTAAAATTTTAGTGAAAGTAATTTGGCCACTCTTGGCTGTTTTATCCAAGAATGTACTTCTTTTTTAGGTTACTTTGTATTTCTTATTAAGAAAGTTAAATCGTTACTTTTTTTCCCATAAGAAAAGATAATCCAACTTAGTATTGTAAATAATCAGTTTTTTACCTTTTCTGTAATTATAATTAAGATTGCATAGTTGTAGTATAACTGCTGCCTCTTTTATTTAAGGATGATACAGATACTACCACGAAATTTAAAAACTAAAAAATTATGACTCCATTCAAGCCTAGATGATCAAAGCTTAATTTTTGATTTCTTATAAGTTGGGGTCTCTTAATAACACCTTTCAAGAAAAAAATAAGTGCTACTAATGTGAATGCATTCTTAACATTCCATGCATTAATTTATATGAGCTTTAAAAAAAACCTTACTGTAGTAAGTAGCAACAAGTGTCATAATACCTGTAAATTGAAACCTAAGTGTGTAGTACAGTTGACTCAAACAACATAGGGGTTAGGGAAACCGACCTCCTGTGCAGTTGAATCTTGAGTATAACTGATTCTCCAAAATCTTAATTGATGTCCTACTTCCTGATAACAAACAGTTGATTAACACATTCTGTGTATTCTTAAAGTAGGCTGGAGAAAAGAAAATGATTTTTCAAATTGTTGAAAATCTCCAGAAAATTTTCCAATATACTTATTGAAAAAAACCCATATACAAGTGGACCCACGCAGTTCAAACCCATGTTCAAGGGTCACCTGGACTTACATAATTACTGTCATTATGTTAATGAGAATAGCAATGATTGATAACATTTCCAAATCTCCTCTCAGTACTTTCAGACTGCACAGTCCTGTGGATGATATCCAACCCTTTGTTTCACTGACCGTCTCCATCATTGTTTTACACTTGCTTCATGGTAGAGATGGTATAATTACAGTGTTGTGGCTTCCTTGTAGAAGGAAAAGAAATGACCCTTTAGGTTTACTTTTAGTTTACTTGATTTGTTGCTTTCAGCCAAAGTCATTCATCTCTAGTTGATGCTTAAAGGTATGAAAGACATGCTTTGGTTAAAAATTGTACTTCCTGTGTTTTACTCTGTGGCTTCTATTAATAGTAGCAATTTGCTGTATGTAACTATTTTTTAACCATTTTTATTCTCCTTGGGCCTCTTTTAAAAGTTAGTGTTGGTTCACAATGATACGATTGTTCTGAACTGTACATATTTTTTGGAAGCTTGGTTGTGGCTATTGATAGTTATTACAGATTTAAAAACTAAGCTTACTGTTAGCTCTTAAGAGTAAGTAGATAATATTTTATATTAAACAAAGCAGTGGTAAAATTTACAGGAGATGTGTGCAAAATAATGGGAAATTATATGATACTAATATTGTATGTTCAAATACAAATATTGCATTCTATTTGATACTTAATATCAAGGTTTCATTCACAATACTTGTGAAGTAAAATACACATGCTTTTACAGAAGCAGTACTTTTCAAGTTTTCACATGTGGGTTTTTGCACTTCAGTTATAAATAGTGATACCTATTCTTTACATGAATAGCATTTTAGCATTTCTGAAAACTAGTTGTTACTGAGCATTCTCTGGGGTGATTTTCTATGATTCTGGGGTGATTTTCTATGATAGGTAATTAAAGAAGAAATTGTATAATTTTTGTTCTCAAAGAGCATAGAATCTTAACTGCATATAATTCATGTATCAGGCATTAGTTTACTTAAGACTCAGTTGGTGGTTGTTTTAAAAAAAAGAATTTGAGGATTTGAGACCTACTAAAAATGTCCAATTTAGTAGGTCTGGAGATGGCAACCCTAAAATCTTTTTATAAGCATATTTGGGTGAATTTAATACAGGTAGTACAGTCTTAGAATAACAAGCCACAACTGGAGAAACAGAGGCTTATTTAGGAAAAATTCAAAATTCAAAGTATTTCAGATTTTTGCATTGTGTTAATGAAAGTGTGTGACCTAAAAAATGTAAAGAGTTAATGTTGAATGTTACGAGGCACTATTCACTTACGTATACTCAATATGGCACTTGGCTTTAAAGAATGTTGAGGTATTGAAGGATGTAGACCTCATAAAGAATGATTAATGTAAATGAGCTTTAAAGATGGCAAAATGAAGTGTGTGCTCTGTCATGGTCACACACCTCTATTTTTCTTTAATTGAGCATCTACTACCTATTGGGTTTAATTGCTCTTTTATGGAATTTTTCTTGATCTCTAATTCCAAGCACAATATTATATATAACCAGAAAGTTATAAAAAGTATTAATGGTTTCCATGGTATTTTTTTTATTTTAAGAGATCTTGAAACTATGTCCAACTATCAAAAATGAAACAAAAGAGGATACCATACTACTTGTTTGGATCAGATAGTAGTTACCATTGGCGACCAAAAGTTCTCTAATGAGTCAGTGATATTATTTCCTTCTTATGAATTATAGGTATTAATTTTTCCTATTATAGCAGAATAACCAACTTTGAAAGAGATGATGGATATAACATTACTCAATTTTTAAAAATCTAATACCTTGCTCTCTAATGGTGAACAATAAATAGCTCTACCTCATGGATTTCTTTGTGGTTTTTTTTGAGCCTTGAAAATATTTCCTCTTCCTATCATAAAGCAGTGCTTCCTAGCATATTTTACTCATTTGGTTGTTCTTATACTCGCACTAAAGATAAGGAATCTGTAATATATGGAAGTGTGGTATTATCTGTCCAGTAATATATGTAATATATGGAAGTGTGGTATTCTCTGTCCAGATACCAAAAGGTATCAAAATTGGGATTAGAATTTGTATTTCTACTTGCATGTTGCCATTAACTACTGGTATATACAACTTTCAATAAGACATTCTAAAACTACTCTTTTTACCTTTTTGGAATACAAAAACACATTGTATTGGAAAAGGAAAATGGAATTGCCATTAATTTTAGTAATTTACATATGAAATGTACAAATACATCACTTACAAAGCTTAACACAAATCTGTGTGATAATTTATATGGTGTGACAAAAGTTCTTAAAGATTAAATTTTTTTCATGCAGTAGTTTCTGTTTTGCACATCAGTTATATCAGATTTCATAGAAATTCTAGTTAATGGAGCAGAGGAGGTTTAGATTAAACTGGCGATTGGACTGACTGATAGAATATGATGCAGGCTTATAAAGCTGAAAGCTTTTAATTTAGTTAGAACCTCTTATGACAAATGTTTTCAAAGCCAGCTGGTTATTTTAGACTGTAGAGTCATTAAGAAATAAAGTATTACCATAATGAGGTATCACCTCACTCCAGTTAGAATGGCCACTATCCAAAGGACAAGAAATAACGTGTTGGTGAGGATGTGGAGAAGTGGGAAACCTCCTACACTGTTGATGGGAATGTCAGTTGGTACAGCCACTATTTAAAGCAGTATGGAGGTTCCTCAAAAAACTAAAAATAGACATACCATTTGACCCAGTAACTCCACTTCTAGGAATTTACCTGAAGAAAACAAAATCCCTGATTCAAAAAGTTATATGCACTCCTGTGTTTATCGCCACATTATTTACAATAGCCAATATAGAAGCAAAGTGCCCATCAGTAGATGACTGGATAAAGAAGACGTTGTACATAATGCACAATGGAATATTATTCAGCCATGAAATAGAAAGAAATCCTGCCATTTGTGGCAACTTGGATGGACCTAGAGGGTATTATGTTAAGTGAAATAAGCCAGAAGGAGAAAGACAAATACCATATGACTTCATGTGGAATCTAAAAACAAAACAAAATAAAATGAACAAATGGCAGTAGACTCATAGACATTTAGAAGTGACTGGTGGTTACCATTGGGGAGGGGTTGGGGTGGGTGGGTATAGAGAGTGAAAGAGATAAAAGGTATCATTCTCAATCATAAGTTGGTCATGGGGATGGTAGTACAGCATGGAGAATACAGTGAATGATTTTGTAACATCTTCCTATGTTGACAGATAGTAAGTGTACTAGTGTGGGTGAGGAATTAATGTGGGTAACTGTTGAACCACTGTGTTGTATACTTGAAACTAATATAAGATTGTATATCAACTATATTTCAATTAAAAAAATGAGTAAATATTTTTAATTGTTTTAAATTATATACTTCCTCTTTTAAAAAAGTATTAAGCAACAAAGAAATCTGTTCAGTCATTTGACCAGCTTTAACCTATTTAAATAGTGTTCCTAAGACAGCATCCCCATATTATATTAATATAATCATCTATTTAAATGTTAATATCTTAAGTTTCAATATTAAAGTTTTTGACCTTAGCCACTGAGGGACTCTGTAATTATCAGGTGATTTTACATATATGAACTAGGGTATGCATACAGTTTTAATTTAAAAGTTTGCACTCATTGTGTGAAATAATTTATTAATCATAACTGCTATACACAGATATAATACTCATTTTTCCAAAGTCAGAATTCTTGATTTCCTCTCTAGTGCTCATTTTATGTCTCTGCATCATACCTATTTATTATGCATTTTGATCTCCCTTAAAAAAACTGTAGCTCATTGATTAACCTTCTGGTTCTCAATTTCTTTATCTGTAAAGGAAGGTAATGTGATTCCTACCTTTTGGAAACTGGTGTGAGGATTAGGACATGGTCGAAGCTTAACAAATGATGGCCAATTATATCTTTGGGTAGAGAAGTTAATTTAGTTGTTATCTTATTATCCTCCATCATCTAACAGTGCTATGATAACAGACTTTCTTATTTAGTAGTTAGATTAGATCCCTGCTGCTTTTGTTTCTTTGAATTCTAACAGGTTAGTGTTAGGCTTTGTATGTTTGTTTGCATTAACATTATTTTATCTTGTATGATTAATGTCAGTGAGAGAGTCTCAGCTTTGTCATATTCCTCAAATTAGGTTTTGGTATTGATATGTAATAACAGAAATACTACTGTTGTAGTGTCTCTTCTGTTGTACTCAGTGAATAATCTATTCAAATGCCATTTTTGTCAAGTAGAAGACTTGTCATAGAATTACTAAATCCTTATAGTCTGACTTTTTATTCTCTTGGCATGCCGTAGTATATACATCCTGAACTAAAAAGAAGCTAAATTTACTTTATACACCAGTTAATTATTTCACTCTTATCAAAATGCCAGTTATTCTTCTGTGTCTACAAATTTGTGTTCTTGTACATGATACATTTAACATGGAGGTTATAGAGTAAACTTCTTCTAGGTTGAACTTCTTCATGGTTTTGATAAACAGATGTTATGTAAATAAGTCCACTATGTTCTTGGTTGGGGTTTTTTTCTTTTCTTTTTTTTAAAATATGGAATGCTTCACAAATTTGCGTGTCATCCTTGCGCAGGGGCCATGCTAATCTTCTCCATATCGTTCCAATTTTAGTTTATGTGCTGCTGAAGCGAGCACTGTTCTTGGGTTTTTCATTTGTCTTTCAGAAGATCTGGAAAGTTTCATGGCTTATTTAAAGTACTCCTATAGGTTTAGGAATTAAAAAAAACTTAAGCTGTTTCTCTTTGTTCACTTGAAGTTGGAAGGATTCCCATATAAAACTGTAAAATTATTGTTTGTACCACAACCCCCGTTTGAGAATTTCGTTTGTTCTTACATTGTTTCTACCCGTGATAAAGTATATTGAAGTGAAATGGAATATTTTCCTTGAAAAATCTGGTTAATTTTAAAGAAATTATTTAAAAAAAACAACAATTAAGGATATTGTTGAAATTTCTCATCAGATCATTTTGATTTGGGCTGCAATTAATGATGAAACACTGTGGTAAAGACTTTGTTGAATAAATTTGATATTACTGTCTGGTCTTACATTCTCATTTCCTTTCCTCACACCTCCACTTAAATGTGTGTGTGTGTGTGTATAACGTGTGTATGTATGTGTCCAGTGTAGCCATCTTTGGTATTGTAGGCAGTAAGGAAAATTGGAATTCTTAGGGTTGTATTTTTTAGTATATTTATGGACATTTAATATTAACATCAAGAATTAAGTTTGATATGATAATTTCATGAATTTAAATCTTTAAAAGAACAGTGGTTTATTAGAGTTGATGACACCATATGAATCATAATTTTGATACCAGTGTTCAAAGCACTGTTATTCAAGTGTAGATTAGTGGTGTAATTTTTGGAGGCTGTTGTGTTTTATCTGGACATTGTATCTGCAAGTGATCATTAGTTTCTGCATCATTGATAGTACAAAACAGCTGCTTTTGGGGAATCATGGTTCTTTGAATATGTGCTTCAGGAGCCTCTAATTTTCTCTACATTGTTTCCTGCATGTAAGAGAATCTAGATGTCTTTAGACTAAGAGAAAGAACTAAGATACATATTGAAGAAGTCGAGTGCTTTGACATAATTAAGTTTCTAGCATAAAATGTATGGTTTGAAAGGAAAGTGTTTGCTAATAAAACCCATTTTTTGAAAAATAGAATTGTAATTATATAGATTACAAGGCAAAAGATTCTAAGATATTATTAAATCTAGGTAATACAGAACTGTCCTTTATTAGCATTACCTATTCTGTTAGAATGGAAAAACATGTAGAATATGAAGATTAGGATTAAATCTTGAAATAATCATTTTATATATATATTTATGCCTTCCTATCCTAGTATATGTTGTTTTCATAAGATGCACTAGCATTTGTTGATGTGTATGTGCATTTTAAATACCTGAGGTAAGGAATACTTCTTATATTTTATTTCTTCATAGTGCTGGGCAATCAGATATCTTCTGAGAACATTTTCTTTCTAATAAACTTTGTAAATGTTAGATGTTAAAATCAGTACATTTCTGAAAAATTAAAACTATCAAAATAATATAGCTCATTATATGGAGAACATTAGTGGTAAATTGTTAAATTCCTTACTTTCATTTCCTTGAGATACTTAACCATGGTTTCCAAGTAGTATGATTTTTTAAAAATGTAGTAGAAGCAAAAACTTTTGAGAATGCTTCTATTCAATTATGACTTATTTTTAAGAATTTTTAAAAAAGATTTCATCTTTTTGATGTTCCTGTGTTTCAGCCTTTATTTCTAAACTTCTTCCATCCTCTTCTAGCAAAAGAAAAAAGTTGAATCTTAGGACTTTAGAATTTGGCAGTCAGTACTTACTGTTATAGGTTATCATGCAAAGAAGTAGAAGCAATAGCTAAACAGCATTACCAGAGTCAGACAGCTTCAGAGATACTCCATTGGTAACTATTGTGAGTAAAACCATAATACTTTTTTTTAAAAAACAGCTCTTTGCTCATTCTTCTAGAATTAAGGCAAGCTAATATCTGTGTTTTGACTGTGTTGCTAACGGTTAAAGAAAGTGGTGTTGTAGTGATAGAAATTGAAAAAGTGAATGGAGATACTTAAGTTGGAGGCAGGCTTTAACCTTTTTATTTGGTATCTACAGAGTGAAAAATGTGGTAGTACATTTTAAAAGGTTTTGAAAAATAACTAACAAATGATGGTTCTTACAAATATTAAGCCCTAGATAGAAATATAAGCCAGCAATAATAGCATTCTGTGCAGTCAGATTTTTATCTAGTGTGCATAAATTCTCTGGTATCTCTTGCTTATAGTGTTTGATGATGGTGATGAGAGGACATTGAGACGCACCTCACTTTGCCTAAAAGGAGAGAGACATTTTGCTGAAAGTGAGGTAGGATGACACATATGGACTTTGGGTAGAAAAGCAGCTACTAACATGGAAGCAAAATGTGATTTAATTCATATGCTTCTTATCCAGACTCTTGACCAGCTTCCATTAACAAACCCAGAGCATTTTGGAACTCCAGTAATTGCAAAGAAGGCGAACAGGGGAAGGAGGTCCTCTCTTCCTGTGTGAGTGGTTTCATAAAGAGTCACATTACAGTTATTACAGTTTTAAGCAAATGATTTTTCTAAGGTTTCTATATTTGTCTGGGCTACCTTTCCATAGCACCTTGTATGCTTATGTTACACATTTTATCCTGAGCAGACCTTGTCCTTATTTCCATAACTTTGCACAAGAATTATCACAACTCTTTTTTCAAAAAGGCTTATTTTTGTTGGGTGTTACTTTACCAAATTCCTTAATTGAGATCATGATTTTCCTATTTTTAAGTGAGTATATCTATTTTTTAACCTTTTTATTTCAAAAACATTTCAAACTTAAAAATTGTGAGAAAAATACAGTACATTTTCATATACTCATCATCTAATTCACTAATTGTTAATATTTTATGTTTGGCACATTTGCTTTATCATTTCCTCTCTTTATACATACATGTTATAATTTCTAAAAATTTTATTTCAATTGACTGGACCATTTAAGAGGAAATTGTGAGCATCATTTTTTACCAATAAATACCAAAGAACAAGGACATTCTTTTATACAGCCAAAGTATGATTGTCAAATTCAGAAAATTACATTGGTAGAATGTTATTATCGAATAACATAGTTCATATTTCTAATTTTGCTAATTGTTCCAATAATAGCCTTGATAGTATCCCTTGATTCTAGGATCCAATCCAAGATCATGCATTGTTATGTAGTTTTTATGATTCTTAAATCTCCTTTAATCTGGAAAAGTTTTTTTTTTTTTGTCTTTTCATGACATTGACATTTTTTAAGAGTATGGGCAAGTTGTTTGTCTGACTGTTTAGTTATTCAGATAGTTTTACCTAAATAAGCCTTCAGGTGCATTTTAATGAAATCTTTTCGTAACCTGTTAGAAAATTAGTTATATCAAATAGCATCTGGCATACATAAAATATAGAAGGGCAGTCTTTGAAGAAAAATATACTTGGCACAGTAAGTACTTCATGGTGATGTAATTAGGCTTTTCTGTCCCAGCCAGTGGTTGGTATGAGAGCCTAGGTCCAAGTCCTTCTCAATTTAGTGAGGTGGAGTCATTTACCGTGAGTCAGAAGCTCATGACCACTTCTGTTGGGCTAGGGAAGCATCCATCTCTTCAATTCCTGTAAGAAAGAAGAGGCTACTACTCTGGGTTAATCCAGACTAGAAGCTGAACTGTATGTGTTAAATTCACACCACTCTGACTATACTGAAAATGGTTTATAATAAGATCGTGATAAAGTTATTCTCACTTTTAGTAATGAAGATGAAAAGGAAGAAGAAAGTAGTGAAGAGGAAGATGAAGATAAGAGACGTCTCAATGATGAATTATTAGGAAAAGTTGTAAGTGTGGTTTCAACATCTGAGAAGACTGAGTGGTATCCTGCTTTGGTAAGTAAAGTTTTTGCAGTTTTTCAACCATTTAAAATATTTATTTAATATGGACTTTTTAAAAGGCATTTAATATATCTTGAAAGTATTGCACAGCTTTAAATTTGGAGTTTAATGCGAAATTGAGCAGTCCTACTCAGGTCCTACAATACTTTGTTGTCTTTTGTTACTTTCTTTAATTCTCTGTAAGTGATCACTTACTAGGCTCTTATAGTTCTTTCTTCCTTCAAAAGAAAGTCTCCAGTGGTCTCTTTTTACTCTATTCCTATTAACAATTTCAACTTGATCTATAGTAACTACTTCCCAAGTTCTCTTGATTCCTGTATTTTTGCTTCACGAAATTCAGACTAATTTTTTAGAAGCAACTTTTATAAAGAAGTCATTGTAAGATATTGACTTAATCATGATAGTCCCATTTTCAAGGGGAAAAAAGCCTTCACTGACTATCTAATGGATGAGTTCTGCATTCCTTAGATAGATATTTGAGGCCATCCCCAGCTCTTAGTGTGTTTTCCATTTCAGCAAAGTGCTCTACTTCACTCAGGTTTATTCTTAACTGCTCCCTACATAAGACATTTCACTCTGCCAAGCCTTGCCCCCTGCCTTCAATCAATTAGTTTTTACTGAGAATGTGCAGTGAGTTCAGCTTTGTTCTAAGTTCCTTATAAGAGAGAGAGGTCAGAGACTAGTAACATGTGGCCCTCCAGAAGCTTACTATGCTATTCTAAAAGATCACATGGTAGCTAAAGATTATATAGTCATTTAAAAACCTTTTGGTGCAAACACTGGAGTAGGACAGGGGAGTATTGGGGAAAGGAAAGGTAAACCTGGCTTTGGAAATGGCAAGTCTTGAATGGGTTTGTAGAGAAAACTGATCTTAGCTTACTTATGGAAGGAATGAGAAGGGATGGGCAAGAGTATTACTTCATGAGAGTAATCAGTAATATTGGTAATAATTTTCTACTTTCTCCTCCTCTTACTCCTCTAAGTAAGGTTCAGTTCTAGTCTTACCTTTCCTGCAGTTTCCCATAACCACTCTCATAGTATGCCCCTTCTTTTCTGAGTTTTGATTATTACTTATATATTTAATAATAATTTTTCAGTAAAGTACAATAAAAATATATCTCAGAATCCTTTAAAGAATTGAGGACAATTTTTTAGGTTTCTGTGTACATGTAGATACATTACTCAATTCCTGTGTAATGGATTTAATTTACATAGGAAAAGTCTGAAAATCCTTTGAACCTTTCAATTGTACAGGCAGACAGGTCAGTGGGTTTGGCTTCAGAGTATTCAGGTCATAATTTTTTAAGCAATTAAAAAACATTCCTATATTCAACAGATTTATCATTTGCCAGGTGATACAAAGAATAAAAGATGAGTAAGACACTAATCGTAATTTTGATGGTTTTATAGTCTAATGCAGAGAATAATCCAAATAACTACAATATAAAATAGTATGTGTTCAATATTGGGTCTACTTGTCCTAAGAGATTACATTTATTTGAAGGAAATCCAGAAAGTCTTCATGAAGCAGGTGCTTTTGAAAGCCAATCCTTGAAATATTTAGTTAGTAAGCACAGCTTCAACAGAGGACTTGCTTAGAGGAAACAAGCAAAAACAAAAGCAGAGAATTTGTTCGTGGAACTCCTTGCTTCAGGAATCCATTTTGGCTAAATATTAGATGTGAGTAGGGGAAAAATAGGAAGTAAGACTGGGAAGATAATTTAGATCTAGGGAGATGGGGTTTTTAAAGTACATCTAAGGAATCTGGACATTATTCTGCATAGAATTCTGCAGAAGAGTGACATTGTTTGAGGTGTGTGCTTCGGAATGTTAGTGAGGCAGTATATGTTGTATGGGTTGTTACTGGAAACACTGAAGGTGGCCAGAATCAATGTGGAGGCCAGTAAAGTGGCTCCCAGGTGAGATAATTAAGCTTTGGGTGTGCCTACTCACTCTTCAAGACTTACCTTAAGCTTTTGCTGCCACATCTTTTCCTTCCCCAGGATGGGTTAAATGTCCCTCATAGGTGTTTTCATATTACCGTATGCCTAGTGGTATCACTGTACTTATCCTCCATTGTATTTTTTGTGTGTTTACCCTCCATTATCCTTTTAGCTCCTTGAGGGCAGACATAACTATATTATTAATCTAATAATTACCAGCACCTAACAAATAATAAATGTTTACTTCCATCTGACTTAAGACAGCTTATATGACAGCTTATATGACTAAGGAATTTTTAATTATCTAGATATATGCTGTTTAATATGATAGCAGTAAGCTTTATGTTGCTATTAAGTGTAAATAACTTAATTCAAATTAAATAGAATTAAAAGTTCCATCTCCCAGTTGCACTAGCCATATTCAAGTGCTCAGCCCCAAGTAGTTCATTGATGCTCCAATCCGAATTCATTTCAGATATAGAACATTGCCATCATTGCATAAAGTTGTGTGGATGGTGATAGATTGTACAAAGGGTTAGGGGTGGTAATGAGCAGGTACATTTTAGAAATTTATAAGTAGACTTTCATTTTTTAAAATTTTAAGTGCTGTAAAGTATATACAGAGTTAGTTATTTACCAGTGTTGAGACATTTATTACTTTTAAAAGTTAAGAAACTAACAAGTTCTTCACTCAGATTTTCTCTGATTGGCTTTAATTACTAAAAATTGTACATGCCCTGGTATGAAAGGGAACGTAAGTGTTTATTTTAAAAAAATAGCCAGATTTAAAAATAGATCCTGATTCAAGTATTTTTTTAAAAATATGCCAAATTTTTGTCACAGATCATAGGTTTTATTTTTTGGACAATAAATGATTTATTATTTAGCTTAGAATAAATCCTAATATTTTTCAAAGTGGTGACTGCATTAATTATTCACACTGTAATCTAGTTATTGCATAAGTGAAATACCTCGAAAACAAATACGGTAACTATACATAATAAGGTGAACCTTTTTGGTAAATAATTCATTAATAATGGAACTATTGACCATGAAGTTATTTCTTGTGAAATATAAAAATAATCCATTTGAGAAGATAGGGAATCTGGAATCATTCTTTTAAAAAATATATTCTTCTTTTTGAGCAAGTTAAATAAGAACCAATCTGTTCTTATTTTATATTTCAGGTGATATCTCCCAGCTGTAATGATGACATCACAGTGAAAAAAGACCAGTGTTTAGTTCGATCCTTTATCGATTCTAAATTGTGAGTAATGAATTACTTAAAAGTGTTACATTAGGATAAAAAAAATAAATGGAATCACAATAATAGACTTTTCCCTGCACCAAGACTTTATTTTTAAAAAGTCTGGTCATTTTATGAGCTCGGAAGTTGTCTTGACTTTTTGTGATGTACATTACTTTTTACTGAAAAATTTATGTAAAAACTGAACAATATGTGAGAATAATATTATGCAGTTTTTTTATAAAGCATGGTATAGATTTTCTCCTTAATTGTGAAAATTCTACATTTTCATCATATACTATTTCATATTATGAACTATGAAATTTACTTTAGGATTTATATTACTAGGACAACTACTCTGACTTTTTTCTGATTAAAAGTCAGATATTTAGAAACTTCCCTTAACCTCAACTTTGCTTTGTTTCCAAAAAAAGGTGAAATAAAAAATACATATATATTTTTTGAGTTGTAAATCTCTGTGGAAAATTTAATACTATAATGTATATTACAATGAAAAGTTTTTAATATCCTAAGTTATTGTTATTAAACTGAATAGTAAATTTAAGAAATAGTAAAGATCAAAGTAGACATTGTGTCTTTTATAAGGAAGACATCATGCTGATATAAACCATCCATACTGTGTGTAGGAGGGATGCATAGATTTAAGTATTAGAAATGTGAGGCTCTCAAATTAGAGTACTGTGAGTATGTGGATCTTTAGAATTAAAATACTAGCTTTGTCTGTATTACCTCTTTACCTTTATTAAGGATAGGATATACTTGGTCTTTTTAAAACATTTTATAGGCAAAATAATTTTGATTTGGGGGTTTGTGTTTTATATGTTAATATGGACAATTCAATTCATCATTTTTATTTCATAATGACTTCCCTCCCCTTTATCCTATAATTAGTTATTCTATAGCAAGAAAGGATATCAAGGAAGTAGACATTCTCAATCTACCTGAATCTGACCTCTCTACTAAACCAGGTAAAGTAAGGGTGAATCAGTCTATTATTACATGATGTGGCCCTAAATGGCAAGTAGTGACTGAAAGCAAGACTGAATATTCTCTGGTGCCATTTTAACTGTTTGGAGTTGATATCCACGCTTATTTGATGGCTATTTTTTTAATATTTAGATAAAAATGTTTGATATGTAATTTTTAGATAAGTTTTGACTTCTCATGTTTTACCATTAACATTTATGAGTATTCCCTAGAGTAATAATAAACACTAATATAGCATCATAACTTATGAAATATGTTAAAATTTTACTGTATTATTTTGTAAGTAAAAATTGAATTTGAATCCAGATCTTCCAACCCTGAATGTCATGTCTTTCTATTCTGTTCTACTAATTCCATAGCAACTGCTGATGTACATTTTTAATCTTAGGGCTGCAGAAAGCAAGCATCTTCTTAAAAACTAGAATTGTTCCTGATAATTGGAAAATGGATATTAGTGAAATCCTTGAGTCATCCAGTAGTGATGATGAAGAAGGCCCAGGTGAAGAAAATGATGAAGAGAAGGAAAAGGAGGCCAGAAAGGAGGAAGATGATGTGGTAGGTGAAATTTCATGTTTCTAACATCTAAAAACATTTTAATAGTTTAGAGTAAGAATAATACCTTTGTATATCTTCCCACTGTTTAGAGTCTCTGTATTATTTGTTTTGTCTTTTTCTAGCTCATCTTGATTTGGGGGTGGTGGAGTGTTTTGGCTTCTACCTTAGTGGGTTAATCAGAAGTAATATTCAGTGGATAAGAGGTTACAAAGAAGAACTTACCAAGTAAATCAACAAATACAAAGTTTTTTTTTTAAGTATCTTTTTGAAACAACCACAGAGGAAAGAAATGTTACTTTGAGTTTATTACATGTTCTCGCTTTAAAATTATTATGATATGAAGTAACTGGTATTACTCTAAAGGAAGGAAAGTGAAGGTCAGAAAGGTTAAGTAACTTTCTCAAGGTGGCACAACTGAAATGTGAAGAGGGATTTGAGCCGAGGTCTGGTATGGCTTAACTTGGATTTCACCTCTTTCAGACTTTTCATGGTACCTTAAGAGTGACGGGGCTTAAAAAAAAAAAAAGCTATCCACACTGAAGGAATATTTTCATGTGGCAATTGGATAAATTATAGAAATGATTTAGATTGTATTTTACAAGTGCTAGTGGTTTTCTTTGTAATACTACTGTGTCATTTAGGAAATCATTCATGGACTACCACATAATTACTTACATGAATATTGTCTGTTTATCTAGCAATATTTTATCAAATGGGATAAACAGTCCAGTATAATTTGGGTTGTTATGAAGTAAAGGGGTTTAGGGGCAGACAAAGACAATGAGTTGACTGGAAAAGAAGACCTATTTGAGCATGAAAAATAATTACTTGGAAAATGTGGAATGCTTGTTTCTCTTTCACATACACAAGTGTGAATTTATGAAATAAAATGAGTTACTTCTGTGTGATGAAGGGCCCATGATATTTCTTCCTTTTACTTCTGCAGTATTTGGTTTTTTGCACTCTGAAATCAGAATGGCGGTTCATACTTACAGGCTGCCTACAGAGTTGCCATAGTAACGTGCTGTTGGTTTTAAGTGAGCATGCTCGGAAAGACAGGAAGGTTTAGCAGAGGCTTGGCAGGTTGCCAATGGAGGTTTGCCAGATGCTTTGAAATGGGCTGTCTTTCTTTTCCTTTCATGTAATGTCTGATTTTTATGTGGAAGAGAATGTAAGTAGTGCTGTATAACCCTGCGGATGCTATGCCCTAAGAGGGAAAGCAAATATTTGCAAGTCAGACTGAAAATGTTCAGACACTGTACTGACTAAGTAGAAGGGGAATCTAACCATTTTGCATTTGAAAGGAAATGCAGCATATAGGTAAGATTTTTTTTCATATTTAGTTACCATTTTGATTGCCAAAAATGAGGTTAAATAAGAATTTCAGGTATTTTTGATGTGGCTGATACGGGAGGACTCATAACCAAGCGTAATTGTTTCTTGTAAAAGAGACAGTAGGAGTCTATTTTTAGAATATCAGGATGAAAGCTATTTTTCTGAAACATAAGATACATTTTGAAATGAAAATGATAATGAAACAGTTTGGCAAAATTTAAGATTTAAAGTCTAAATAGTAAATGTGATTTTTGTATTTTATCTGTGTTTATTTATAAATTATGTTTTCAGGGTAAATAGGCCACATTTTCAGGGTGTGAACTGTTACAGTCTGGTTTTGCTTTTTTTAAAAAATCAACATTAGTTAGGATTGCCAAATACTGAAAAAAGATTAGTCTCTTTATTTTTGCTAATACTTTTAATTGGTGTCCCTTTCAGAATGCATTTTCTCTACTCCCCACCCCCAAAAAGAACCCTGAAATTTTAAACAAAGAGGGTAAAAAGAGCTTTGTAGTGAGGTTGGAAAGGATAGCTATAAAACAATAAATAGTACATAGTGCTGTTATTACAGCTATTAATTTCATAAAAATCATAATGTTTTATTCAAGCTCTGAGTAAACGTTAGTGAAAAAGAATGAAGAGGCAAGCTCTGTCACCTATTGTTTGCAGGTAATAACTAAAGAAATTTTAAGGTAAGGACTTTTATAAGGGTAGTATCTTAGAAAAATATAACATATTATGAATCTGTTAAAATTAAGTGAAGCAGGATGCTTTTCATCTACTGAAAAATAAAAGCAAAATTATTCAGGCACTGATTTGTATGGTTATTTTAAATTATTTTTAGATGGTCAGTTACATAGCATATACTTTTTTGAATTACTTGATAGAAACTAATTCCTCTTTTTCTCTGGCCATACAAGTAGACATTCTTGAGTGGAATTTTGGTTGCTTTAGAGAAAAAAATCAGCTGCATTTCTTACTCTTGGATTTAGATTTAGTTGCTGAATCATTCTAATTTGTCTTGGACAGTAATTTAAAAAAAATAGTAATATTGATAAACCGAAAAGTAATTTAGTCTATATATAAACAAAGGAAAAAAATAGATATGATATAAAATGAATTAAAATCTGTTAAGCCAGGGCCTACCTGGCTTAGTCATTACAGGCCTTTACTACATAAGTGAGACTAAGCTGTTGTATTACATTACAGATCATTTTCTTCCTGAAATGTAATTATCCTATGGTTTTCATGAAGATTTAATATTGCTTTATAATGATCAAAAAGATCTTTTATAATATTATGTAAACCACTGTAACAGTACGTTAGCCTGTCATTTGGTGTTTGTAAATTTTATGCAGTAGAATCATACAAGTGTTAGATACTTCTGCAGTGTTAATGGGCAGTGGACATTGTTTTTATATTTGATGCTTTGAGTACCCTAACATAGCCTTAATAAGAAAACTTGAGATTTTGTGGTTTTATTTAATATTATTTTGAGTTCCTCAGCGTCGGAAGTTCAGGATTTCGATTATAAGACATATTTTTTGAGTTGTAAGTGGGTGGGAAAAGACCTGAGAGTCTTGACAGGAAGTAGGTCTTACCTATATTGATGACTTGAAATTTTAACTAATCGGTTATTTATATTGAAAAAGAGCCCTGGAGAATATTCTTGTAGGTATTACTTAAATGTCTTTTGTCAAGAAAATCTTATATTAGAAAAGGTATTACTGAATTTCTTTTTGAGCTTTGAAATTGAAAAGTTCATGTAAACATCAGCAGTAATGTCAATTATTCATTTACTCTTGATTTGTATTCACTTTGGATGACTAGGAGAGTTGTCTAAGGATAAAATAAATAGGTGATTATTTAGATGACTGAACTGGGGGGAATTTGACTAAACTTAGCTTTTTTTTTTCCTTTTGGTTTGCTATACATACGCTTATATGTTGGGCCCTTTCAAAAATCTCTTCTAATTTCATATTTAGTAATAAAAATTAGAATTTAGTGAATTGTTAGATATTCTTTTTGTCTATACATATTGACACCCATTTCTCTAATCTGAATTTTCTAGGGATCACTACTAATGTTTGATGCCTGGATTATATTCTGCTATTATAAAAGCCATAAGTATTTTTATTCATAGCTGAAATTTTTGTGTGTGTGTTTAAATCAAGTATTATTTTTGTGTATTTATGCCTTTTGGTAGATCACTTATAAAGGTATTTGTTAGTGATATTTCAAGATCATTTTGGGTATAATATAATTGCTTGATAATTTAGGAAAATCAAACTAAGTCAATAAAATTTAATGAAAACTTTGAAGCTAATGCTAGTATGTTAGGTGTATCTAACAACTCCAGTTGACAAACAAGTACTTCTAAGCAGGCCCTATAATGTCAGCCATCAATGACTTTAGCTTGCATTCAGATATAATAACTAATTTGCAAAAAGTCTTAAAGTTTAGCCTATTAAATAAGCAAACAAAAACGTCCTAATGTGTTTAGCAAAACCTTTCTTCACAGTGTTAGTGTAAGACTAACCAAATTAGGTTCACCTAATCAGATTAATGAAGATTATATTTGTATACTCAATTACTGATGTACTTTTATGTGCTTTCAAAAAAACATGTGTTTTATAGTTGTAATATGAGAGGGCTAATTTGAAAGTCTTAGATTTTGTAGCGTCCAAACCACAGAGTGATGATTAAAATTAGGATGTATATCCCTTTTCAAATGGGAGAAAAAATTACTACTCTTAGTTATCTAATGTAATGCAAGAGTCATACATAATTTGTTGTACATTTTTGTCAATGATCTCATTTTTGACATGCCTCCCTTCTTAAATCACCTGACATATATGGCATTACTTTTTTTTCCTGGTTTACTTCCTAACTATATGATGTAATGACTCCATACTTATAATATGAGCATCAAAGATGCTTCTTCTCATCTCCAGATATATATATTAAACTGCCAATGAGGATTCTCATTTCAGTACTACTCAAACTAAGTGCAAGACTGTCCTCATCTTTCTCCCAGAGCCATCCTTCCCCTGGTTGTCCCTAATTCATTTGAAAAGAAGTACCATTCACCCAATTACCCAATCCAGACACATGGTAGGCACTGAATCCTCCCATGCTTGCCCTCCTATCCAATGAAACAGCAAATCCTGCTCTCCTGCCTACTTGTTGGTTCACAAATCTGCCCACTTCCCACATTTTCTACACTCTGCCACCCTAGTCCAAGCCACTATCCTCTTTTACCTATACTAATGCAACAGTAGTACTCTGTTCTTCCCATGTTTGCCCTCCTCCAATGTGTTCTTTGTACTGCGTCTAGGTAGATTTTTTTAAAACTGGAAATATAAATTTGATTCCTCTTAGACTAAAGTAATTTTAGGACACAAAAGCAGCTGTAGTTTTTATTCTTTTGTATTGAAATATTTTTAAAACATACTGGATAAATGCCACCCCTTTCCAACCCTTTCTAAAAGTAGTATTCTGGGTGTGTAACTGTTGAACCACTGTATTGTATACTTGAAACCAATATAATATTGTATATGGACTACATTTCAATGAAAAAGAGTATACTGAACATTACTTATCCTCATATTTACTCAAGATGTAATTATTGTATTCTTTTAATACAATGCTGTCATGGCTTTTAGCCCTTAAACTAAATGACCCTACATCTATTAAGATTTTTCTCTGTTTCTTCTAAAATCTATATTGTCAACTGTCAGTTTTTACGTATGATAACTTTCTGGACTGATCTTCAGACTTCTACTTAGGGCAGGGTTTACTGATACTCTAGGGAGTCATTTTGACCTAGATCAACTGAGTTACAAAATTAATGTTGTGGTTTTTTTTCTTAAGTTTTCAGTTTAACTGAAAGTTTAGGTTTTCTTTTAAATTAGGCTTTTATCTGCATATTTCACTGAGGTGTTGTGACAATCAAATACATCTTGTTGTTCCAGAGCATATATCATTCGTAAAATGGACCTTTCATAATACCACTGTTAATGTAAGAGATATAAACTGGTAAAGATGGCCACACCAAATAATGTTCTTTGTTTATTCTTGGAGAGTTAGTAGTTTTTAAAGTAAGATTGTTTATTTAATCTTCACAACTGGGTTTTTTTATGAGTGAGGAAACTGAGGCTTAAGAGAGGTTATATAAAGTTCACAGATTTCTTTTTCCTTACTCTCTTTTTTTTCCTCCAAGTCAGACAGGTAATGTGTCAACATCGTAACAAGGTTTGAGAGAGGCACACGTCACATGAAAGCGTGAACACTCAGTCATCATGCTTATGAACTATAAAAGGATCCGAAGGTTCACAGATTTTTAAGATAATTTTCTCTCCTCTAGATTATAAGGTCTATGGAAATAGAGGAGGTCAGGTTTTGTTGGAGTTTTTTCCTATTCCCAGCAGCATAAATATCTACCAACCAGCAACACAGAACTTGGCTCATATTAATCCTTCATTAAGTAATTTCATAATAAATGAATCAATGTGGGCTATGCAATTATTACAACAAATTGCTGTCGGAAACAAAGTGTTGGAAAATTTGTTGTAAGGTTCCAGAAAGTTCATTTTGGAAGCGACCATGGGATAAAGCTTCTGGCCTTTTTTCATAATAAATTACTTTTCTCAGGCAATCCATTCTGTAGGCAATCTTATTTCCTTATATAATTTTGTGAGTTTATGAATGAATTCTATTTGGCTTAAGTTAGTTTGGGATAGTTTTCTGTCACATCAGTAAGAGTTCTTGACTAATAATACTCCTCCTCTGTATCCTACCCCACGTCTATTTCTGTGACTAGTCCTCTTCTTTTCACCTGTGATCCATTCTTCATAGACATAATTTAAAAACATAAATGTTTCCTGCTGGAAGCTCTTTAATGTCTTTCAGCACCTACAGGGTAGAGCGTAGGTCTTTCATCAAAGCCCTTTATAAGTCTGATCCTATATGATTTGACCCATGCCAACATTTTTCTTCTCTTTACACTATTCTTCAGACATAGGGAACTTCTTTTAGCTTTCCTTCCTTCCACCCTGCCACATGCTCAGATTTTGTAAAACTGGAAATAGTACTTTGGTGCTGAGTTGTGAGGTTTATTACACTGAGTCAGGTTTATTACCTTTGTGTCACCCGTTCCCTTTATTAGTAGTAAATACAATATGGAAAATAAAGTGAAAGTTTAAAAAACTAAAAAAATTTTAAATAGCTGAGATTTTAAAGAATCCAACAGATTGCTATGTAGGAACAAAGAGAGCTCTGCCTGAATGAAAGTGGTTGAGTGACCTGTAAATGTATGCATTAACATTAGTGGTAAGTTGTTCTGGAGCCACAGTTTTAAACAATCAGTGGGGCTATTTAATATGTTTCAAATGTAAAATTTTATACAAAAACAACCTAAGCAGCTACAGGTATTGCTGCTTCTTTCACTTCAGTCCTCCAGTGCAGAGATGGCCCCAGAGCTCCACCTTTGATGTGCAGCTTGCAGTGCTTAGCTCCCCAGACCAGAGCTTTCAGGACACTATCTTAATACTTCCTCCTCGCCACCAGAGCCCTGCCCGCTGCACAGGGCTGCAAGCTCCGTCTCTTTCTTTTGGAGGAGGTGGGGTGAGGGATGGGAGGTCAAGGGGTTGTAAGAACTTGAGGAGTTGAGAGGACCTGTGATGGAGTTCCAGGGATGGGGTGACAAAGGGAGCCAATGAAGAGGACCAGAGGGGGGGCTATAGACAGCAGCAGGGGAGGTAGATGAAGATGCTGTTGTCCAGATTAATATTAATTCACAAAAACAGTATTTTGGTATTGAAAAATAAGTGTGGTATACTGGAATACCAAAAAGAAGAAGGGTGTTGTATAATCATTAGTAACTTACTAAGGACACCTGTAGGGGCTTGGGAGCGCTGATATGCCCACCAGCAAAAGATGTATACCTTCATTTACTACAAAGGTCAAGGTTAATTACACAGTTCCCCACTCTCAAAATGTCAGTATTTGTGGCTCTAACATGTTATGGGCTAAGAAACTCTCCTCACCTTATTAGAACTGTATATAAGTTACATGGCATCTGAGGGGCTTTGTATAAAGTGCATCATCTTTTACTGACATGTTTTGATCATTTGGATGCCTTCTGTAAGCCTTCCTAATTTGTGTTCTGGAGAGTAGAGTTGCTAGCTAAGTAATAATAGTTCAGCAAAACAAGGTAGTGTTAAAAAATAACAAAATGTATTCTTCTGTCATCCCAATAAAATGCAGAAAGTCCATTCTTCACTAGATTTTGTGTCACATTTCTAAGTGAATAGTCATTCATGTCCTGACTAATGTATTTGAGAAAGGAATGAAGTGAATGTTAGCAAGTGATTGTGTCACAACCACCTGTGACTTAAGAACATCCTCAGCCATTCTCATTTTTTCTCTCTTTTGTCTGACTCGTATTGTATTTATGTTGTAATTAATGTTAGCCCTGAAACTCAAAGTGTGTGAAACAGTTGAAGAAAACCTTTTCCCCAATTCATTTTCAGTATCTCAATTTCATTTCACTTGATCTCATTTCCATTCACATAATAGTGTCTAAACTAAATGCTAGTCATTGGTGATAGAATTGTGAGTAAAATAGGCATGACCCTAACTTCATAGAGCTAATCAAGCATTTACAATGTACTGGAACTTTGAGGACTGAAAACATGAGTAACTTAAATCAGACTTAAGCTAAAAAAAAAAATCTCAGCATTAACTCCTCTCTCTCTCCCTCCCTCCCTCCCTCTCTCTCTCTCTCTCTCTCTCTCTCTCTTTCTCTCCTCTCAGGCAGTTATCTTTCCATCATCAGATGGTGAGATTAATTCAGGCATTGATCCTCCTCCTCATTCACATTATAGTATCTTCCCTTTCCTTTCTAATCCTCAGACTCACTCTCAGCGGAGAACTTTTAAAAACACAAGTCTTTCCTCTTCTGCTCTCTCAGACTTCACATCTACCCACAATATCCAGTTCTGATTTTCCAGCACATCATTACAAAGTCCTTTCCTAATTATAGCCTACCTTTGCCAGCCTCATGTTTTATGTTGTATTTCAAGGCTTTCCCTAATACTACTACCATATCTCCATCCCCAGCAGAACCATTCATCCCCTCTGTATTCTTTTTCATTTTATAATACTTACTATATTGATTGAGTTGGCTTGTTTTATATTTCTACACCTCTTACAGTTTTAGAGATCCAAAAAGTAAAGTACCATAGTCATAGTACTTTTGCATAGTTCCTGACTCATGGTGACCATCAATGAATATTTGAACTGAATTTGAAGATATAGTTTCCCAAGTCAGAAAACACATAATCTAATAATGTAAATAGGTAGATACACAACTACTGATAATATTAGGTAATATGTACTGATGCTAACTAAAATTGTAAATTTCTTGGAATTATGATCATGTTCATGCCTATTCTATATCCTTAACCCCTTTCCCTCCCCTGACATTTTGCTGGATTAAACAAGCTTGACTAGACAAAGGGAAAGAAGGCTCATCAGCAGTCCAGTGGACTCTACGTCCCATTTTTTACAACTGTCTTCCACTCTAAAACCTTTGAAGGATGCAACACTTCTGGCTATAGACCCAGGAAAGAGATTTTGTAGGTATGAAAATACCATGAACAGGAAAAAAGCACACCGTGATCGCAAATACAAGCCCCCATATAAGAGCCAAAAGGCATTCTTCTAATTGGGGCATTTTCAAGCGTGTGCGTTTTACTCCAAGGTAATAACATACCTATTTTCAAAAAAGATTATGAAGAATTACTTACTGTAGGAGATTAAGCAATTTTAATTTTTGCAAAGACCATCAAATAAATTTAAAAGGTTTATAGTCTTTTTTTTTTTTGTGGAAAGTAAATTTCTTCTCAAGCAGGCATTTGCTTATAAATAGAATTCTTTATTCATTTATATCTCGGTTTTGCACCTGATACCTGCACCTAAACTTATTGTTTTATGGCCATGGTTTCTCATGGAACTTAATATACTCTTGGACTGCCACTAACTAACTTTTAAAGCAAGTGTATTTAAACTACCAATTTTTATCTAGAAAATGATATTCTTAATCAAGAATTTATCATATGGTACTGTCCTAGTAAATACCTAATTTGCAACTGGCTCATTTTGCTTACTTGTTTTTGTAAGAAATTTTTATTTCAGATCAGTGCCTTTCTTAAAAAAATTGCTTTTACATATACTGGATACAATGGTGTTATTTGGATACTGTAAGATCATGAGGTGTTTGTCTGAGGAGAAAATACTGTGATTACAAGGGACAGGCAAATCATAGAGCCAGCCAGGTATAAGGGTTTTTTCCCCTTATACCAGAAGTCCTTAAAATTAATATCTGAAATGATTCCTGGGCTACTTGATTACCTTTTTCCTTGAGTTAACTTACTAGCAGTTGTTTTAATAACCTTGTAAAAGCAAGATTTTAAATTCACTTAGGGAAAAACTGCCATCTCCTGATTTGAGCACTTAGTAATGACCCCTATTAACTCTGTAGTGATTATTAACTTTGTAAATTGCTTATTTTTGAGGTTTAGAACTCAGTTTCTAGACAATTTTGAGGTTTAGAACTCCTCCTATTTCTTTATATTTGTTCTTTATATGAGTTTCTTTATATTTGGTGAAACTGAAATTACTCCAGTGTCATAAATCATTCTGAATTGAATGTCCTACTTCCTTTCCCTGGATTGCCTCATGGCTTTTTTTATTATATATTTCAATCAACTACATGTTTATTGACTCTGGTTCTATTATTAGCAATTAAAACTCTTAAAGGATACATAATTTTAAAAGCCAGTTGCCCTCTGGACTGTGAACACTCAGTATTTATTGCCTAACAGCTGTCTTTGCTTTGAAAGATAAAAATCTGAATTATTCTTTTAGAATATAGAAAATTAGTACTCTGAAATTAAATTATGATAATTTTTATGGAAGAAATAGATCAGTGTTTTGTTTCTCCATAGTATTGTTAAACTTTAAATAAGAATTTTCCCAAATAGTTTATAAGTAGTTATCAGAAAAGGAGTATTTTATTAAAACCCATAATAAATCAACTATAGAGCTCATGCAAGAAAGGTAAATGAAAAACCAGGCTAGTGTGATATAACCTAGTGTGGTAGGACCTGGGGACAATATAGAATTATATAACTCACTTAAATGTATTTAAATTTCTTTAAAACATTGTGTTGTCCAAACAAAACTCTGTGCCATGTGACTTTACAACTTCTGGTTTATATTCATTCAGTAATAACAAGATTTTAATGTTTGTATATGGAT